TACATTTTGAGACACTATTTGGAACGAACTGTGAACACCCCAATAGTATCATACGGGCATCAGTTTTGTATGTGCTTGGGAAAAGAGTAACCACTTCTCCGGGCGTGTGCACACACATGGGCGCATTTGCCTTACAGTTGTTGTTGTTGTAGCAGCCTTAAGGCTCTGTTATGCATACTTGGCATTGCATGCACTGCTATACCATTTTTACGTAGAAATCAAAAACCAACAGACTTCTACGTATGTAGTGCTGTGCGTTCGATAACCGATTACACGCGAGGCTCATTTAACAGATTTCTTATGTGACAGCTCTCAAGCCATGCCAAGTATGCATAACGGAGCCTTTACAGTATGTTCACTCGCTCAAACATGTCATCTAGTTGGTGAAGTACAAGTGAATTTAGCGATGAAACTATTGGAAAAAAATAATATAAAAAAAACTTTTTAATATACAACGCTTTTATCAACTTCTATGAAATTGAAAATGAAAAACGTGGAGCGCATGCAATACAAAGCATTCGATTTAATTGACAATAGTCAAACTACATAACGTAGACCTAAAATTTCTACAGCGAAAGTAGAACTTTGAAATCGATTTTAAGCGGTCGTTATTCATATACCCACATACATACATACATATATTACTTTTCATATCAATTCAAGTGTATTACATGCGCCCCACGCTTTTCATTTTCAATTTCATAGAAGTTGATAAAAGCGTTGTAATAATTGGTGATTTTTCTAGTGATGAGTATTTTAACTTCTAAATACTTGATAAATTAGTGAATAGATGGCAGCGAAATATCCAAAAATACATGAACCCAAATTAAAAAATACAATTTTATTTTGTTTATGCTTTCCAGAGCTTCCGAGCTCAGAAAATTCTTCTAATTTTTCATTGGGGTCTGAATTTTCGTCGCTAAAACAAATTCCTCAGCGCCGTTTGCTTCTTCTGCCTCCATTCCTATGTTCTGCTGGAGTTCCACGTTAGCGTTGCATTGTATTTCAGCACTGTAGTTATTGCCTCCTAAACGCACTGACCTCCTGTAAGAACAACAATGGCGACCTAGTGACCGATGTCCAGAAT